TCACTCACTCACTCACTGCCCCTCCGTACAGCACCTCACTCATAACACAGTCAACTCACTCACTCACCCACTGCCCCTCCGTGCCAGCACCTCATAACACAGTCAACTCACTCACTCACTCACTGCCCCTCCGTGCCAGCACCTCATTAACACAGTCAACTCACACTCACACTGCCCCTCCGGTGCCAGCACCTCATAACACAGTCAACTCACTCCACTCACTCACTGCCCCTGTACCAGCACCTCATAACACAGTCAACTCACTCACTCACTCACTGCCCCTCGTTAAGCACCTCATAACACAGTCAACTCACTCACTCACTCACTGCCCCTCCGTTGCCAGCACCTCCATAACACAGTCAACTCACTCACTCACTCACTGCCCCTCCGTTGCCAGCACCTCCATAACACAGTCAACTCACTCACTCACTCACTGCCCCTCCGTTGCCAGCACCTCACAACACAGTCAACTCACTCACTCACTCACTGCCCCTCCGTGCCAGCACCTCATAACAGTCAACTCACTCACTCACTCACTGCCCCTCCATGCCAGCACCTCACAACACAGTCAACTCACTCACTCACTCACTGCCCCTCCGTGCCAGCACCTCACAACACAGTCAACTCACTCACTCACTCACTGCCCCTCCGTGCCAGCACCTCATAACACAGTCAACTCACTCACTCACTCACTGCCCCTCCGTGCCAGCACCTCACAACACAGTCAACTCACTCACTCACTCACTGCCCCTCCATGCCAGCACTCCTCATAACACAGTCAACTCACTCACTCACTCACTGCCCCTCCGTGCCAGCACCTCACACACAGTCAACTCACTCACTCACTCACTGCCCCTCCATGCCAGCACCTCACAAACAGTCAACTCACTCACTCACTCACTGCCCCTCCGTGCCAGCACCTCATAACACAGTCAACCATAGTTTTGCAATGCCGAGACCATTATTTCCAAAACCTTGAAACATCGCTGACTGTGCGAAACACATTCCCAGCTCACTCACGATTATTCAGTTATTTAAGAAGAGTAATGTTGATTCACCATGGGAAACAAGAACATCGACACCAAAACATACATAAAAGTAGAACTAAAAACACAACCCACTTTCCTATTGGTTCAAAATACATTTCTGTAAAATATGATTGATCCAACAGCTGTTGTTGTACATAAACATGTAAAAAAATGACGAGAGCGTTGAAATAATTCAGAAAAAAATTGCCATGTCAAAATGACCTAGACTTTATAACACAAGTCTACGAACATGACACGGGTTCAGATATTCAAACTATTTCACGCTTTTTAAAGAAATGTTCCATTCCGACAGAAACATCTGCTGTTTTGTAGAAACATGTAACATTGATAAGACAACGTTCATTGTCGCTGTTAACATACCAAGAGGTTACGTTGTATGTTTTTCTAAAAAACGTTCACAAACTGACTCTAAAATTAACTCTTTTGAATATTTGCAGTTATTCTTGTTTTTTTCACAAGACCAGTGTTTTGTTTAATGGAGTAAGAGAAGTCAATATACCATGATTCGGAAATTTGAAAGAGTGTTTTTAAAACCTTTCCCTGTAATGGTGGATTTGGTTTATTTAAAAAAGCACTGATGTGATAGTTTTTTTCAATTTTCAAAATAAACATATGTTATTATTTCTGTTACATTTACATTAAGCGATATCTTTGCATGCCACAACCAATTTTGGGTTGTAATTCTGCAAGCTTGTTTAACACTATTTTAATACAATATGTTTAGTCAGCAAAATGTGTTTTAGCAGTAACAAGATCAGCTTGGATGGCAGGTTTGAATATTCCAGCTTTATTGCAGCAGTCTGATATAATTAAGTTGAACCAGACAATTCTGTGATCAACAACATGAATATCGATCTGCACAATACGCAATACGATAACATGTGTCAACCAAGTCAGCAAGCCGTAACATCCGATACACTTCTTACGACAAGTATGGGTTGTTGAAGATCAATTCTAACCCGAATCTTCATGGCTACCATAAAACATAATAAAGTTGAGCCACAGACTAACATTTTGACTCTGAAATGAAAATATTTTTCAAAGGAATATACACATGTAAGGGACTGTTCATTATTAATGGCTAGGAGGGTGATGATGATTTTGATATATATATTTTTTTAAATTTTTTAATTTTTTTTTTTGGGGGGGGGCATCCATTTTGTTCTTAGGGCTGGGGGGCAGCAGTTTTGTACACACTTACTGGGGGGGGGCAGCAATTTTGTACATATAAATATGATTAAAATTATGCTTAGAATTTATGGGAAGGGGAGTAGGGTCACTGATTTTGTATATGACATGCAAGGGGGGAGGGTGTTACTATCTTGTACATAAATTTTAGGGGGGTCATTCACATTGTACATGCTTCTCCATAAAAATCATCATCACCCCCCTACCAATAAATTATGAATGGTCCCTAAACACTCACTTTACTCACTCACTCATTTCTTTGTTTTGAGAGATGTTTACAGTTTGTTTCCCAGACCCTGGGAAATGAATTAAAAAAAGTATTCTCCTCAATGTGTATTCCCTCAGCTGTAGTGATTTTGTTCTGAGCTCCATTTTGATTTTATGTGTTTTTTTATGAGACTAAACATTACTCTAAGAGACCCCTAGAAGAGGAGAATCTGAGAGTATCAAATATATCAGCTAAAGTCGATACAAGTTTCCCACTTGTCAGTGATGTCAATGGTCATGTGATGCAATTTCACAACAGTAGTTGTCTCATCCAAACTTAACCCGTGAAGGTCCGTGTTAGAATATTGATCTTCAGTCACCCAAGCTTGTCGTAAGAGGCGAATAACGGGATCGGGTGGTCAAGCTTGCTGATTTGGTTGACACATGTCATCGGTTCCCAATTGTGTAGATCGATGCTCATGTTGTTGATCACTTCATTTTTTGTTTCTTGTATGACCCACACTTTTGTAATTGAATCGTTTATTAAATTTGTTTTTTCAGTTTTTCCCTCAAAAAATTAAGTTTACATTTTCAATAGTCCAATATAAGTAGACATAATTATGTGCAAACATTTTCAACACGTTCTTTGGGTCTGCTTCAGTTTTCTATAACAATCTGTATGGTTACACCAAGTCAGTCAAAAAATAAAATAGGAATATATTCGTGTGATTATATTTTAATTTTGCATTTGGATTTGGATATGGGGTAATTTTGTGTGAAACAGTATATATTTCCATCCATCCATCCATCCATCATCCAGGAGATTGGAGTAGCCAGTAGTGGTGTTCCGATTAATTGAAATAATCGAATATTGGTCGCAGTGACCAAACGACCAAGCAATCAATCACATTTCCTCATAATCGAACAGAAACGATTTTGGAACTACTGTTTTAGTTTTTGAAATACTTGACAATGGAACATATCTTAGAAGTTGTCAGGGCCTGAAAACGTGTTCAATTCTTAGAAAACTCACTTCACTACTGAAAAGTCATTACTGAATATTTCTCTAAGACTCCAGGAAGTTTATGTTCATGATATATTAGTCATCACTTTAATGTAACAAGCTGCATCATGTTATACATATCTGTAATTACAACCTGGATAGGAAAATCTGAAATGACGCTAACCAATTTTTATCGATGATTGTTCGTTGGTAATGAAGCAATCATCAATTGTGAGATTTCAACCAATTCCCAACACTAGTAGCCAGAGATTAAACAGAATGTATTTGATCAGTGATCAAACCCCAATTTATCCAATATCATTCATGATTTCGTGTGATTTTAGCAGTTGTGTCCTTGAAAACCATCATTGATAGAAGAGTGCTCAGCAATCAAATCAGAAAATGATCACGCCGAACAAACAGCAGCTCCAGAAATCTGATATTAACCAATACAAAATATGGTGGAGATAAAGACAGTTTCTTCCCTTGACGTGAGTCAATGCTGTGATTAGTCTCTGTGCTGAATATAGATTGGCAAACAAGCCCTGGCTCCGATATAATGGGGAGAGTGTTCTGTATTGAGCGTCCAGCATTAACATAGAATATAGCTGTATCATAATCAAGCAAGGCATTATCTTCAGTGTTCTGTGATGTTCAGTTAAAGTTAGGGAACAGTTGTATAGGTTTTGATTTAAATGAGCTCCTTACGTTTGGTTGAAAGGTGTGGTGTCTGTGTGTGGGCCTGAGAGAGAGAGAGAGAGAGAGAGAGAGAGAGAGAGAGAGAGAGAGAGAGAGAGAGAGTGAGTGGAGCCTGAGAGAGAGAGAGAGAGAGAGAGAGAGAATATTTGTTCTGAATAAAGTACTTTGCTTAGGAAAACAAAAACAGTTTTGCATCAGTGCATTAGAGAGAGAGGAGGTAGAGGATGAGAAAGAGAGATAGATGAAGAGGCAGAGTGTGAATAAAGTAATATGCTGAAGAATCAAAATAGTGGTGTTGGTGTGTTTTGCATGAGAGAGAGAAAGAGAGGGAGAGAGAGAGAAAAAGAGAGAGAGAGAGAGAAAAAGAGAGAGAGGACAAGAGAGAGAGAGAGGTCTGTGTGATCTTTGAGTTGGTGTGTATGGTGTGTGTTTGCTTTTCTCTCTGTATTACATATGTGTTTGTGGTGTTTGGGTCTCTCTGTTACATGAATGGTTTGTGTGTGCGTGCCTGTTGTGCGTGCATGTTGTGCGTGCGAGCATGAGCTCCTTTGTTGGAAGTTATCAAGAAGCATGGCTGCTATTCATAACTACAGTAAATCTGACTGAAGAACGATAACATAGAGACCTATATCAATGCCTATTGCAAAATTGGCCAAGAGAATGACTGTACTGTTGCTTACTTTGACATAAACTAACATTCGATCACCAAATACTTTTAAAACAAGTCAAATAAATCACTGAAGTATTTTGAATGATGAAATCAGCATTCTTCATTTTGCCACAGTGGAATGGCAACATCTGAAACATATCAAACTAAATGTAAAATTTCTTCCTACTAAAGGGAGACAACTCACCTGCAATGCTTTGAATAAGCCCTGTCACGGTGAAGATGCTCTTCCCACAGAGGGACCTGTTGCAGATGCTGATGACCGATGTAACCGTAGCGAACAGCAACATAATAGCTCCAATACAGAAGAAAAAGAGCCGCCTTCCACGTGTTCGGGAATTCACTGTCGGGCATTCCATATCCTGTTACAAATGTCGCGCACGTGTCTCTGGTCTCGATCAGCTCGTAACGATGTAATCGGGTGCATCGGTTGAACATCCCAACCGTAGGTGTGAAGATTTCCTCTGGATTAACGCCAGTGATATTGTCATAGATGGAATCCAGGCCCATTTTTTGTGGTGCCCCTATGAGCCAGTTGGGAGACATGACTGAAGTCACCACCAGCATGAAGGTCGTTATGGACAACAGTGTCCATAGCAACGACCAACAAGTAATGATGACGTAACACATTTTGACTGGGTAATTCACAAAGTATTCCTGATGCCGACCAAAACGGTTCCAAGGAAGTCAATATCGAGAGGAATGGTTTTGTGAATTTGAAAAATATATTCTGATGCAGTAAAGGCACACTTTGCACAATATACAGATCTTAATATCACAAGATTGGAATAAGAACAAGAAAAAAGGCCTTAGAAATGAGGTAGCACTTTTTAAATGAGGAATGATTCCAGTGTTGTGCGATTGAATATTATTGCATCAGCTTCAGTGGTTCACGTGTCCTTTGTTTTCAAGGTAATCCTGATCAAGGGAATGATTGAAAGTCTGTGAAATTGGACCAAACGCAGTTTCTACAAGGCATCAAGTACTTATATTCCTTCCATATATCTGTCTCAGAATCTTGACCTTCACCTTTTCACCACAGGTGCAAGCTAGAAAATGTGACCTTGAACTTTTGTAGGGTCACTGTAGGTCACACAAGGCACTCAGTTATTGGACTATTTTGTTTCTGATTATTTCTGTTGATTCCAAATCAGAGAGATCTGTAAAGGTTGAGCTATTTTCTAGATTCCTGATAACAGGTCTTGGAACAGATGATGAGATATACTGTAATCTTGTACAGAATCTATATACTGGTGCTGTTATACACAATATTGGTTTACCATTTATGGTGCCAATTCTTACCGAAATCTAATTCCTTTTTCCAAACTTCGTATCACACAGCAATTATCTTCCAAATATTCCAGATTCTTTTTTGAGTTCCAAAGATGGAGCCACAATAATTCTCTATGTACAGATGATATCAGTCTTCTAATTTTTCCTAATGATTCCTGATTCCTCCCATTCACAGATTAGGATTGTAGTTTCTGGAATGTATTTCCAAATGAACTCTTCACACCACAGATTCCTGAAATGCTCTGTACGGAGCCAGTATCCTCTTCTCCTTCCAGCTGTTTGACTTTATCCAGATTGTATGAGTTCCTGGTGTGTTTTGTTACACTTCCTGGTTTTGTTGTGAGTTTTGTTCAACTATATTCTCCTTGTTGGTGTACTGGAACAGAAGTCACTTTCATGTCCTTCATCTGGGGAACAGAAACAGAAAATATAATGTATGCCCAAAAACAATAATAATTTTTTTTTATTCAAATAACCTGAGAGTGCGAATGATGGGTATTTGTGGGTGAGTGAGTGAGTGAGTATAGCTGGTTATGAGCAATAGCTTCACCATGTCACGGCCTACAGTGTTTTTTTAATACTAAGGCCAGACCAATTTTATTTCTTGTTTTACAGATTTTTGTCCTCAGAAAACCAAAAGGCGGGAGGGGAAAAAATAGAAAATAAAAATCACAACTCAAAATAATTTTCCGTTTAAGTACCAAAAGTATTTTATTTTTGGCAATTTATGAAGTCTATATGGGGTAAAAAACAATCAAAATTTTTTTAAGTTTACATTTTTGGTCAATAGAAACATAAGGATTTATTTTTTGAGCGGGAAAAAATAATTTATTTATTTTTCTTATTCTTGAAAAAATACGACCGGCAGATCCGTAAAACAATTGGTCTGGCCTAAAGTAAACTACATGTATGTTTTTACAGCGAACTAGTCTGCCTCATAGTCCCCTAACAACTTTACTTTCCCTTCTGTCCAGCCCTCGAGTGAATGTAAAGTAAGTCTAGGTTTCTCTCACTGGGAGTCCTTTTCAATTTGAAAGGAATTTTTTGTTTCTGTCAAAGTGATATATATTCAGAGACTAGCCGTTAGTCTACTCCCCGATATCCTTCAAGATCTGATCACAGGCTGCAGACCTGTCTGTCCACTTCAGTCACGTGACCAGCTCGTCCTACTCAACATCAAGTATGTAGGTTCGAGAACTGGCTACTTGTACTCTAAGGTTCTCCCTTTCACACAGACTCACGTCTGCTCCTACTCATCTCTCAAGCTTGGACTAAAGGCGCACCTCTTTGACTGTTACAACTGACTGTTCACTGAAGTATTTCTCTACATTGTGTGTTTTAGAGGTTTGTGTACCATGAGCATTAAAGATGGGGCTGTATCATATCATCATCATCATCATCAAGATGGACCTAAAGGCACAACTATTGACTGTTATGAATGACTGTTCATTCAAGTATTTCTCTTGATATTTTGTAATTATATTTTTCAGAGGTTTGGAAAGAACATTGAGCATTGAAGATGGGGCTGTATCATATCATCATCATCATCATCATCATCATCATCATCATCATCATCAACCTTCCCATCATCATCATCATCATCAACCTTCCATCATCATCATCATCAACCTTCCCATCATCATCATCATCAACCTTCCCACCATCATCATCATCATCAACCTTCCATCAACATCTTCCCATCATCATCATCATCATCATCAACCTTCCCATCATCATCATCATCATCAACCTTCCATCATCATCATCATCAACCTTCCCACCATCATCATCATCATCAACCTTCATCATCATCATCATCATCATCCCACCATCATCATCATCATCAACCTTCCCATCATCATCATCATCAACCTTCCCATCATCATCATCATCATCAACCTTCCATCATCATCATCATCATCATCACCTTCATCATCATCATCAACCTTCCCATCATCATCATCATCATCAACCTTCCATCATCATCATCATCCTTCCTTCCATCATCATCATCATCATCATCCAACCTTCCACCATCATCATCATCATCAACCTTCCCATCATCATCATCATCATCATCAACCTTCCATCATCATCATCATCATCAACCTTCCCCATCATCATCATCATCATCAACCTTCCCATCATCATCATCATCATCAACCTTCCCATCATCATCATCATCATCATCATCATGTACCTCCATCATCACAATCATATGGAAACACCTAACAATCACAGACAGACAGGCACACACACACACACACACACACACACACACACACACCATGCCTATTTATACCCTGCTTTTGTGAAATGTCAGACTCTCATTACAAACAAAATCAAGGGTCACTGAAGTGACATAAGAGACGATGCAACCAGAATATATATGGCTCTGGCATTAGCTACAGCACCTTGCCTTATCTGTGTACACTCTCAAAATGTTATCTTGCCGCATTATGTCTTATCTTGTCACACCAGCTGGTATTACAACATAAAACTCCGCATGAACCTCTGACCCCCTTCAACCGCAGGTGATAAAGTGTTGTTGGCTTAATGATATTTTCCAAAAACCAGTTGCACATTTCTTAAATCAACTGAAAATTAACTTTGTTGCCATAACAGTTTCTGAGCTGAAAAAATAAAGTGGCGATTAAATTGAATTATCTTGATAATAAATTACCATATCTTGATTCAGTTTCATGAAAATCAAATATTTTTTGTTTATTTTTATTTTTAAGCACTCTCTCAATGTCAGTTGCACTTACCCTTTAAAATATAAGGTGAAAAAAATATAATTTTTTCTTGAAATGTCAGATTAAGTTGACTGTTCTAAAACATGTAACCGCAAGACAAGCTTGAAACTTGGAACAGACGTACTACTGAAATTTTGATAGGGATATTCTGAGTGTCCAGAAAGGGACTGGCCATGACTTATCAATGGGAGCAGTTGTCATGCAAATAGCATTAAAATCGATGTTAAATCTATGCTGAAACATTGCTTTTCATAGAATAAACAAGTTGTATATTCATAAAATTATCATCACTCTTCACCTTTAGAAATATTGTGAAATATTTAATTATGCCCATCAGAAGTTGAAACATATATTACTCAAGAGAAGTTAAGGAACAAAAGAGTATTTCATGTTACTATAGTTGATTTGTCATCCCCTTTAATGAATATAATCAATGAAATCCTCTAAATTTGTGATGTTATTTGAATCATATGATGGACACTATCTTGGAGCAAGCTGATCGCAAGAAGGAAATTAGCCAGCCTGTCTAGTTAGAACCAGTTAGAGGTCAACTATGAAATGGAACATATTTGCTAACTGAAGCATAAAAACAATTAACTCACAGTTATTAAGAAAAAACAAAGGTTGACCTTTTCAGTCTGAAGGTCACTAAACCATGGAATCTATGACCTTCAGTTACTGACCAATGACAAGCCATATAGAGATATAGCCAACATGACCATTATGTGTCATTGTAGGCCAAGGCCGTTGTATTAATAAAATCATAAGTTTGGTTACAGACCTAAACTTATCAAGCTAAACTAAATCCCTTTGACAGGATAACTGGCCCAAAAATGTTAAGTATTCAGAGGTAGGCCTATTTTAAGAAAGGACATGATGTATGGATGAATAACTTCATTATTGTATAAAATCCAGAGCAGGAGACCAGAGCAATACTCTGATTCACATAACTGAAGGAATTTACACTTGTCAATTCAGTCAAGACTAGTGTTAGATGATTGTTGTTATTTGTTCTATAAGACCTCAGAGCTTCAGATAAGATTTAGCTCATTTGGGTACTGTACTCACTGTATTTTTGTGGAGTGGATTTTATGAATGTTGAGTGGGTATTTCATTTTCCGTTACCCACTGCTTTCAAATATGTGCGTATGAGTCATTTTACTCACCTAAGTATTATGTCATTGAGTAAGTTTACTAAGCAGGTATGTTCTGCCTTATATCATACCTAATCAAAACCAACTTAAATATAATGGAAATGATTTCATAAAAAATCACTCGTCCTGTACTTACAGTACAACACTAGTCCTATACTGACAGTACAACTTGATAGCAATCGATGTCTTTTTCATTACACAAGCGATTTTTATAAATATATTCCATAAGCATTTGTTTTAAACTTTTTGCGTATCTAACATTTTAAATGCGTAATTGGTACAACAATTATTTTTCAATCCATAATTGGAAATTTTCTATGCATATTTTACCCAGATACGCAGCTTATCTAGGCCTCTGGGGCCTGGGAGACTAAGGTTATCTCCCAATTGACAGACACCCATTTGACAGACACTAAACTAGAAGGTTAATTAGGGTAATACCTACGAGTACAATGGAACAGTCCGCTGTCTAGTGAGTAGAGCAGGGTAAGCCTGAAACTCGTTACTGAGAAGTTTGATTGTGAGTAAATAGAACTTTGTTGTGATTAAATGATAAATGATTTCTCTTCTCAAATTTTAGTTTACTATCAATTACTATCGAATTTAAAAACAGGTTTGTCACTGAGATGTTTGATTGTGTTTATTGATAGAAAAGCCCCCTCCCAATAATAGCATATGTACAAACAGAAGTTACGTTTTGTTGGAGAGGTATAGATATGAACATTTTTGAAAACATTCTGATTTGCAGTAAATGAGACACCTGCATTGCCATGTAAGATACGAATAATACCAATCAGTGTTCTAATTTTAACGATACTTTCTAAAGATTGTAACAGTTTATGTCTTTGAGTAGTATACAATGGTCATTCAAGGAAGTAATGGCCACATTGTCATGATGCGTCATATTTTGAATATTTATTCTAAATAAATCGTAATTAAGTGCACTAGTCATATATCTTAATATTGTGTGCAAAACATATAACTTCTTTATTCCATATGAATAATATTTAGGTTCACATTTGACTTTATTTGATTTATATGATACAACAGTGTCGCAATTCGTAATAGCTAAGCTAATGTTTTCAATATGATGATGCCGACTAGAAGGTTAAACAGAAGTGTTTATGAAAACAAACTGTTTTTATATTGCAGCAATGAAAATTCAAATAACTGTCTTTTCGTCCATCTTTCAAAATAAATAATATAGCTTCAGTTTGTTCCTGTGTTTTGGACTATTCCATTATAATGTGTAGGTAACAGGTAGTAGATAATCTGTTCACTGAACCGTAAATGTTGTTGTTTTAAGGTGTCTGCGAACTGGCTGTCTGCGTAATGGGAGGACACCGAGACTACAACCTTCCCCGCCCACCCCTCCACCTACCTCCCTGAAGTTTGACAGCCTTTCCTTATTTACACATGCAGTTTACGATCAAACTAATTAGCTCAATTTTACTACATCTAGACTTGTCAGATGATTCAAGACATGAGCTGGATGAA